AAAACTCATCCACTGAGAACCCTGTGGGGCACAGTTCTACTCTGACACACACGGGGCACCATGAGTGGAATCTACTTATGAAAAATCATCCACTGAGAACCCTGTGGGGCACAGTTCTACTCTGACACACACGGGGTACCATGAGTGGGATCTACTTATGAAACATCATCCACTGAGAACCCTGGGGGCACAGTTCTACTCTGACACACACGGGGACACCATGAGTGAAATCTACTTATGAAAAATCAGCAGCTGGAGAGCCTGTGCTTTTTTTATTATTGGTCATAGGGTCAACCCAACGCAATTGGTTCATAACTGGTCGCAGTGCCAGGCTCAGTACCATTGGTCCCTGGCAGGCACAGGTTAGTTGGTCTCATGGGTGAACCCCCGTCTGTTCTTCAAAGGTGAGTCTGCAGAGAGGAGGATGGAAGGACCACTTGTGACCACAGTGTGTCTTTGCTCCACAAGACTTGAGTGAAGCTGGCAATGTATCAGGCCTTTTCTAGAAAATTCCTTCACCCTTCTCCAACTGGACTCCCTACATGTAGCTCTGCTACCCAAACAAGCAGATGCTCACTTGTCCCTCAGGGTAGGACGATGGCCCAGAGTGAGGCGAGTGTCCTGTGCAAGGCTGTACCACCTGCCTGCACGCCCTTCCAGCCCATCCCCGGGCCAGCCTGGTACAGGCCCAGAGATCTGGCTGAGGCCTCATTGTGCTGTCCTGAAAAGCCTCACATTCGTTCTAAAAGTGTGGGGCTGTCTGTTTGGCTGTCCTGAGCACACGTTCGGTGTTACCTTTGTGATGTGGCACTTGGCATTGGAAAGAAAAACATTAGTAAGCACATTTACTTCCGGGTAAAAGTGACCATGGGGGACTATTCAACTGCTAGAACCAGCTGCTTGCTTTTGACCCAAGGGCCACACGCCCTGCTTCCTGAGGAAAAGCGAGGAGGGTGCCTAGGAGCTTGGCGTTCAGAGGAACCTATCCCCAGCCAACTGCATTTGGTCCTAGCTCCTAGCTGGCTGAGGATGCTGGCGGAGGATGGAGCCAGGTGCAGACTTCCTCTCACCTGGAAGCCAGAGCTGCCTTATGTCAACATCCCAGCAGTCTGGGCCCTGGCTCTGGAGGCTGGCATGAAGCCCAACAGCCAAGTACTGTGTGGCTTCCTCAACACTGTCCACCGCTCAGGATAGCGGAAATCTCCACTGTGGCAAACAGTCTCGCCAGGTTGGCCAGGTGTTTATTCAAAGGGCCATCCTGAGGGGTCTTGGGCCTCCTCTGGCATCTGGGGTCCCAGGCAGGAAATAGGGCCACACAAAGGCTCCCAGGATGGGTCTGGAGGACCGTGCTCCCCACGGGTACCTCATGAGAAGAGATAGTTCTGGGACTGAAGGTTCCCTAGAAGGTGGATGTATCCCAGAATGCAGCACTAACGCTCAGGCGCAGTGAGGGGAATACAAAGGGTGTATGAAGATAGTCCCTGAAGGAATAAGACCTGGACACACCGCTCTGCAGTGGGGCTTCTGGAACCTGGGTCAGGGGCTCACTGTGGAATCTGCCCCGGGTATCCTAGGCCTGTTGCCACCCTCGTCAGGTGGGTCCAAGCAGCTGGCTGGTGGGCTTAAGACCCTCTGTCCCTCGCCTAGTGGAGAGGGATGGCTTGGGGGTAGGATCCTGCTGTCTGAATGCCTGCAGACAGAACCTGCTTGGACGCTGCGTGTGGAAAAAGGCTTCAACTATGCCTTCCCACCTGGATCCCACGGGAGGGATGGGCGGCTGGGGGCAGCGTGCCCTCAGACAGTCCACCTGCAGGAAGAGAGGGAGGCTGGGATAAGAGCTTGAGCAGGAGCGGAGCCTGGTACTGGACTCCCCTGCCCTCACCAGCCCTTGGCACGCAGGGCAGGGCACTTTTCAAAGTTCCATCTCCTCATTTGTACAGTGGGGGGGGCACACCCACCTCAAAGGGGGTTGAGGACCAGTGAGCCCAGACACACACAGGTTAGAGCTGTGTGCATGCTACATGGAATCTCTGGATGGTGCACATGGTAAATGCACTCAGCTGCGAACTGGAAGGTTCACCCAGGGGTGCCAAGGAAGAAAGATCTGGCAATCTACTTCCAAAAAACCGGCCACTGAAAACCTTATGGAGCACATGTGGCTTTCATGATCTGGAGTCGACTGTATAGAAACTGTTTTGCGAGTGTTCTTTTTAAGATTGTTGTTGTTGTTGTTGTTAGGTGCCGTCAAGTTGGTTCCAACTCACTGTAACCCTACACACCACAGAGTGAAACACTGTTTCATTCAGGATGGTCCCTATCCTGCACCATCCCTCACAATTATGAACAAGCCTGGAGCCCATTGCTTCTGCTACTGTGCCAATCTATCTCATTGGGGGTCTTCCTCTTCTTCTCTGACCCTCCACTTTACCTAGCATGGTGTCCTCTGTTCTCTAGGGACTGGTCCCTCCTGATAAAATGTCCAAAGTAGGAGAGACGAGGTTTCGCTATCCTGGCTTCTACGAAGCATTCTGGCTGTACTTCCAACACAGATTTATATGTTTGTTCTGGCTGTCCAGGGTACTTTTTAAAAGTTTTTGGGGTTTTTTTTGTTTTTGAAGTTTTCAAGATGGCACATAGTAAATTGGTATCAATTATCATTATTCACAGATTCACAGATCTCTTTTCCCTCTACCTCCTCTCCTGCCTACCAGCTCCCTACCAGCTTTGGGGGAAGAAGAGAGAGAGAGTGCAAGATTCCACTGGGGCAGAGGAGACCCCTTAGGAACTCTCTCCCAACATCTAACCCGTAGTACAGCCTCCACCCCACACCCCCCAGGAGACAGAGTGTCCTGCTATTAGCATCCCTAGTGCACGAAGGCACCAACATTCCAAAATCACCAACAGCCCAAAGTCCTTCCTCTGGCTGTGGCCCCAGACATCACAAGCAGTCCCTGGGTCACAAATCAGATTCCTTCCTAAGTCTGTGTTTAAGATGAATGTAGGTAAGCTCTTATCTGGCATCAGTCGTGTAGACCTTTGTCTTCGTTTATGTTGTTGCTGTTGTTGTTGTTGTTAAGTGCCGTTGAGTCGACACCAACTCTCAGCGACCTTAGGCACAACAGAAGGAAACGCTGCCCCAACCTCACAATCGTCGCTCTACCTGAGCTCATTGCTGGTGTCACTGTACCAATCCATCTTGTGGGAGGTCTTCCTCTTTATCATTGCCCTTCCACTTTACAAATCATGATGCCTTTCTCCAGGCACTTGTCCCTCCAGATAATAAGTGAGAAATATGAGAGATGAGGTCGGGCCAGCCTGGCTTCTAAGGAGCATTCTGGCTGTACGTCTCTGTTCCTGCAAAGATTTACAGCCTCAGAAACCCTATACAGAGTCACTGTGACTTGGAACCAATTAGATGTCACTTACCAACAACAATGGATATAAAACAATACTTCCAAATACACTAAGACATTTATACGTGATCGTCATAATACAGTGATTATAAAAGTTACTACATATGATTCTGTACTGAAGAGAGAAAAGATGTGTGTGTTGTTGTGAAGGGCTGTCAAGTTGGTTCCGACTCACAGCGACCCTATATATAGGGTTTCCAATGAATGGCTGGTAGGTTTGAACCACTGACCCTGTGGCTATCAATCCAGTACTTCCCATGGTGCCACACCAGCCCTGCAAAAAGCATTAAAGAAACAATGCTTTAAAGAGTTTACATAGGGAAAAAGAAATATCACAATGGAAGGTTAACACTCGACTCTGGTTCCATTCACGAGGTTTACATTGTGACCACATTTGTAACTGGATGAGACAAGATGATGACGACATGGCTTCTGCTTGTGGTCCTGGCCTGCTGTTTGGGAGTCAGGGTTTGATTCTGCCGCTGGACAAGCAGGCTTCCTGCTGGAGTCCACATCTTGAAGGAGGGTGTTTACAGAGTTTCTGTTTCTAGGCGTGGATGCCATGCAGCCACCGAGGCCCCTGCTAACTACACTCGGGCACACCTCTCTGAATTAGGGGCTTGCCCCTCTAACGTTGCTTTCCCTGCTTCAATGAGATGAAAGTCTTCAGTTAGCTCTTTCATCAGAAATGGTTTGGCTTCTGGAGTTTTGAAGTCCGGTCGTCCGTAGGTCTTTCTAGAACACTCGCCTCTGCTGCTGTAGATCTGTAAGGTCTTCCTTGGGCAGTTCTTTGACATGGGAATCACGTAATTCCAAGACACCCCCTTCACGGATGTCTAATTGCTGTTGATTACCAACACCAAGTACAGCTTGCCAGCTTGCCTGGCATTGGATTTACACTTTGGAGACGTAGTTGCCAGGGCAAAGAGGAAAATTTCAGCCAAATACCAAGTTACTCAACACAGCATTAACCACAATGTGATTTGCCCCATCTCCTCCCTCAGGATTCTCCTCTCTCTAGCTGACCAATCAGTGAAGACAGCTTACATTGTTTAAATGAATGTCACAAAGTGGTGTTTAACTCAAAGTTCTAATACTTTACTGCTTGGAGTATCTTAGTATGTTTTACCTTCTAGTTATCTAGTGCCCCAGGCAGGGATGGCCCAGGAACCCGGGGTGACAGGGGAGAACCACAATTTGACAAGCACCCAAGAGGTGCTCCACGGGTATAGTTGGAATGCCCCATCCCCGTTATCCATTATCCACGGGACAACAGGCCCCTAGCATTGCGAAAGTTTTGTCCTTTTCCCTCTACGGCTTACCCCTACCTTGAAGGAAGGGATTCTGACAACTCACTATGGAGGCCACGCCCTTCAAATGCCCAGGGAGTTGGGGAAAGGATGGGGAAGCCAGTGACTAGCGATCTTTGTTTCTGTTCTAGGCTGGAAGTTAAACCCTGTAGTAGGCGCAGTGTACGGGCCTGAATTCTATGCAGGTAAGGGCTAGGGACCTTGGTAGTGCAGTGGTGAAGGCGCTCAGCTTGAGTTGCCAAAAGTTTGGCAGTTCAAAAGCGGGAGAAAGACGTGGCAATCAACATCTGAAGATTTACAAACATCCCTGGAAACCCTATGCACAGTTCTACTCTGCCATAGGGCCGCAGTCAGTGAAATGGACAGAGGGTTGGTTTTGTTTGAAGGACTCAGGGTTAGGGAGGGAATGGAGCGAGGTCGGCTGAATATTGGGCAGAGTCCTGGGTCTGGTGGGAGGCGTGGCCAGGTGGAAGGTAGCAGCCAGTGCCGTGCCCAAGGGGCGTGGCCAGATTGGGATGTGGGCCAGTAGGAAACCGCCTAGGGTCAAATCTGGTCTGAGACTGAGCCAGGTGTGCGGGCGGGCTCTGACACTCACCTTCTGTCTCCCTCGCCTGCAGTGACAGGATTTCCTTACCCCACCACGGGCGCGGCAGTTGCCTACCGGGGTGCGCACCTGCGGGGCCGGGGCCGGGCCGTGTATAACACGTTTCGGGCTGCGCCACCCCCGCCTCCCATCCCGACTTACGGAGCGTGAGTACCTGCAGGGGTCGGGGGAGGGAGGCCTGGAGAAAGGTCCCGGGAACGTGGAGGGCGGGGAGCATGGACAGCCAGAGGGGTCAAGAGCCTTTCCAGAACTTTCTGGGGCCGAGGACCCCCTCCCCTACCCCCAGACCTCAGCACTGCAGCCGCCTCCCCTTATCGGTACCCCCACCTCCACCCCGTCGTGGAGGAGACTCTCCCAAAGGTTAGGGGACCTTGTCCACGCTTCAGCTCAGCCGGGGGTTTCTCTAAGCCCTGGCTGATCTGTCATGGAGGTCCCAGGGTCCCCAAAGACAGGGCGAGGACAGCGTCCTCCACCACACAAAGGGGTCAACGGCTGCCTGGGGTGGCTTGTGGGGGGGTGGGTGAGCAAGGCTGGACCAGGGCCCTTGGGGTTGCGAGAGAAAGGAGCTGACCAGCAAAGATGTTACTTTATTGTTATACCAAAACAGGATACTGGAGCAAACGCTTGTTAAAATGCCGGTCCCGTGGGCAGGGCTGGCCCCGTGCCCCCTCCCGCAGCAGACGCCGGAGCCGGCCTACCCCACCTCTCCGGTGTTTCCACCACTTTCTTGTCCGTTTGCTTCCAGGGTCGTGTACCAGGACGGATTTTATGGTGCCGAGATTTATGTAAGTGGAGGTGCGGGAGGGAGGGCTCTAGGCCTCTGTTTGCTCCAAAGAAAACCCGTTGTTTACACACACACACACACACACACACACACACACTCCTGGAGTGGAGCTGTAGGATAAGCGGATTCAAATCTAGCTCCTCAGAAACCCTATACAGGGTTGCTATGGGGGCACTTGACACCAACAACCCCATCCATGGGGACCTGGTGTGGCGCTGTAGGACAAGCACTGGACTGCTAACTGCAAGACTGGCAGTTCAAACTCACCATTCGCCTCTCAGAAACCCTATACAAGGTGACTGTAAGTCAGAACACTTAACAAGAAACCCTACCCATGCCAATCCTACAGGATAGGGGACAACTGCATCATTGTTGTTGTTAAGAGTTCTGACTCATAGTGACCCTGTATAGGGTTTCCAAGGAGCAGCTGGTGGGTTTGAACTGCTGATCTTGTGGTTCAAAACTGACCTTACAGTCCAGCACATGATCCTGCAGTTCCACACCAAGACTCCAAGCTGCCCCTTAGGGTTTCTGAAACTTTTAAATCTTTATGAAAACGGCTGCCTCGTCTTTCTCCCGCCGAGCAACTAGTGTGTTTGAACCCCAGTCTCAGCGCTGTTCAGCCTGGGCTCTCTTACTAAGGAAGTCCCCAGGGTGTTACAAAGGTTTGATGTGCTCAGCTGCTAACTGAAAGGCCAGAGGCTCAAGTCCACTCAGGCACCTCAGAAGAAATGCCTGACCGTCTACTTCTGAAAATATCAGCCATTGAAAAACCCTACGGTGCCTAGTTCTACTCTGACACACACAGGGTCAGCAGGAGTCAAAATCAGCTCCGTAGCTACGGTTTTACGGACTTGATCCTCACAAGAGAGTAGCCAGTGAAGCTGCCCTGACATAGCTTTTCTAGGAGACAAGGCAATGAGCCCGCCCTGCGGACTCCTGGTACCAGCCCTTTCCTGCGGCTACACTTGCTGGCTCCCACCCGCTTACTTGCCCAGAGTAAACCATGTTCCAAGCTGATGTCTTCTAGTATCCTGTGCCCATGACCCTCGTCCAGTGTCCAGGGTGACACCCAGAGTCACCCTTGGGCTCCCCATTCCCATCACCATCAAAGTCGGAGGGCACTGGCCAGTGTGCAGAGTCACCCGCACATACCTAGCTGTCAGAGTACATGTTGAGCACACGAGTGGATGCATGAACAAGTGAATGAGAGTAGTTCCCAGACACCGACCCCCATCCCCCGTCTCCCCCCATCTTATACAGTCTTACCATTGGCAGTCCTCAGAACCCCCCCCCCGAACCAGGCCCAATGGAGGGGTAGCCCCAGAGCTCATCTCGGCCCCCCTGACTGCGTTCTGCTAAACGTTCTGCTCTCCCCATCTCCCTCACCTGCAGGGGGGCTATGCTGCCTACAGATATGCTCAACCCGCTGCAGCAGCTGCCTACAGCGACAGGTAAGCTTGGGGCAGGAGTCATCTGGGGCAGTGGAAGTAGATGGTGGGCCCAGATAGGGGAGCCTCCCCTGCCCTTCAGGACCTGATAGATGCAAGATCGAAATGAGAGCAGGTGGGGTGGGGCTTGGGGACCCCTAGTTCTCCAGCCCCAACTTCTTCAGTCATGTTCAGCTGGCCTGCACAATCATGGAGAGACTGGGAACCCCAGTCTTGAGTTCATACAGTACTCCACTGAGCCCTAGTCCTTGAGGTCAGAGCTGTCCCACCTGGAACTCCGGAGGTCCCCATTAGCACTCCTAGTTCATTAGCTCAGTGTGTGTACCTGCCTCCCGGGAGGGACCAGCCCTCCACCCAGCTGTAAGCATGCTCAAAAGGGGGCACTTGTGGGACAGGTCCCCTTCTCCTTGGGAACCTGAGGTCCCTATTTGAGACCATGGGGAGAGAGGAGTGTGGAGTGTACCTCATCTTGTCCCTGCAGCCTGTGGGAACCTCCTACCCACACTACCTGCACCCTGTTGTTTGATTTCTTCATAAGATGTACCTGGCAGGTAGGGCCCAGCCTGCCACCCCTAAATAATGGAGAGATCACCAGGTGGACAAGAATGCTACCTCCTTGATTCTGCCCCCCTCTTCTCCAGCTCCCACCCCACACTGTGTCCTGCTCTCCAGGCCCACTGTGATTTATTTTCCCTCCCCGTTCTCTCTCTCACACTGCACCCATTGGAAAGCATGACCCACATGCATGAACTGGCCTAGTCCATATGGGAGGGAGAGACTGGTCAGGAGGGAGCCATACCTTGGGAGGTGGGAAGCCATTACTGCCCCTCACCTGTCCCGCCCTCCCATACTCTCTCCAGTTATGGACGGGTGTATGCCGCCACTGACCCCTACCATCACACCGTCGGCCCTGCGGCCACCTACAGCATTGGAACCATGGTAAGGGGGTTACGGGGGCCTGTTCCCCCCCAGGGCCAGGAGGGGGCACAGTGTAGCTGGCAGGGGAGGATCCCATGAGAGAGACCAAGACCTCAGACCCAGGGGTACCTCGGACCCTGGCTGTGATCCCCCAGTTGGAGGGCTTGCCCCTTTGTGCCCTGGCTGAGTTGGGTAGATGTAGGAACTCAATAGTCTGGTCCGTGGGGAGGCATCCTAGACTGGTCTGTTGTTCTGAGGCCCCAAACTGAAATCCTCATTCAAACAGCCCTACAACACATGCCCCTCCCATGATGCTACGGAAGCAGGTAGGGGTTTGAGAGTACCCAAGTCACGGTCTGCTTCTCTCTCATTCTGGTCATCCCCAACTAGGGCTCCCCACTGTTCCTCATCCCAGCCTTCCACTGCCCCAGACTCAGGCTGGGCCAAGCAGCCATTCCTGGGCACAGGGAGCTTGAACCCAACCAAGTGGGGCAGACGTCAGAGCAGGCAGCAGTGATAAGGAGGGCTCGCTGCCGGTGGGGTGCGGGCCAGCGTGTCTGTGTGTGTGTGTGTGTGGCCAGCTGTCGACACATACAGCTCAGTTCACTCTGTACCCCAAAACCTCCCAGTGAACATAACCCGCAGCCTGTGCTCACCCATCCCAGTCAGGGGTGTTTATGTTGGTTTTTAGCTAACTTGGCATCCAGCATCAAAGATGAAAACGTTTTGGGGGGCAGGGAGGGAGGAGGCTCAGGGCCAATGTGGACTCACCCCATCCCTCCTGACTTTTGTACCGTCTTGATTTCTGAGCCCCTCAAAGCACCAGGTGCTGATGCTGGCAGCCTCCTCGAGCCCTGGGGTGCCCACAGACGGGCTGTCCGTTGTCCACAGCCTTGGCCCACCCCAGGCACCCACCTACAGTGCCACTTCCTGGGTTTCCACTTTTTACCTTTGTGGGATTTTCTGGTTTTCCATCTTAGCTTTTCTCCTCTTGCAATTTGCCATTTTCTTCCCTTTTTAGGGTGAAATTGGGGGGCGGGATGGGAGGCTCTAGGGAGTTGCCCTGGCAGGGGAGCCCCAGGATGAGGGTCTGGGAAGGGAGGGGCTGTGACTAGTGGGACAGAGGCTGTACCTGAATGCTGGCCCTGCCCTCGCCCTGCCCCTTTGCGCACTGACCTCCCATCAAGGAGAAATTGGCCCAGGGTTGGCCAGTCCTAGGCCAAGACAAGCTCCCAGAATAAAACCATCATCAGACCCAAGAGAGCTTCAGAGGCTAAGAAGATGGCCCCTTCCATAGCCGGGTCAGCCCACCCCTCCTTCTCCCTCTCCCCTTCCCCGCCACCACACACACCAAGAAAAGCGGGGGGAAAAACAAGACGGGGGTCCAGCGATGTCTCTTTGTTTTTCCTACTTTTTTTTTTTGCTTTGGGCTTTACCCCCCTCCCCCTTGAGGCGGTACTGATTGGCTGTTTTCCATCTTTGATGTTGCAGGCTAGTCTCTGCCGAGGAGGGTGCAACCGCTTCACCCCCTACTAGCAGGAGACCCCATCCCTAGCAGCATTTACACAGACTGCCTCTCACAAACAAACCCACACCCCAGGAGGACAGTGCGTCCCTCTGTCCGGGTCAGCCACGCTGCAGCTCTAGACACTAGGGCCCCTCTGCTGTCCCTGCCCCGCCCACAACGGTGTGTGTGTCTCTGGTCCTACTTGTTCCTGTGTGTTTGAGACCTTAGCTTCCTCCTTTGAGTTGGTTGGTGTGGTGCCACCCAAACCCGCTCCAGGTACGGTATGCACACTGTGGAGGGGTAGGTGGCCTGAGCCCTCAGTGGCAGGCGGCCTGCCCACAGGGTTAGCGAGAGTGGCCGCCTTCCCCATGTGTTAGGTAGCCCAAGGTCCACAGAGCCACCCACAGTGCCCTCGAGCCTCTAGTCTGCAGTGCACAGGGTGCCCACCAGGGGGCGGTGGAGCTTCTGTCTGACCTCCACCATCCATAGCATAGGATGTCTCCGCCGTCCTCCCACCAGCCCCTTCTTTGGCTGAAACAAGTGTTTTTAATTAAATTTCATTAACTACGTTTCCTGTGGAAGTAGTCACAACCATGTCGAACAGGGAGGAACCATCCTGGGTACCCAGGAATTCCTTAGCTCTGCCATGAGCAAACAGATATGGGGGGAGGGGGGAAAATGCCCCTCAAGGCACCCAGGATCCTCCCATAGGGGCCCAGGCCTGCCCCTGAGATCGCTGGAAAAAGGCTTTTTATTAGGACCTTTCAGAAGGGAAGGGAGAATGTTAGTGAACGCGCTGGCTGGCCCCTTACTTGAACCTTCCTGCAGTACCAGCCCCAGCCTCCCTTAGACCCATCTGGGCAGGACTGGGGGGCTGCAGGTCAATCACCTGGGGAGGGAGTCCACTGGGACCTGGCAGTGGACTTTCAGGACACGGGGAGAGCCAGGCAGCCCTCGCCCCCTCCCCCAGCCAGACCCCTCCTCCCTCTCTCTGGGTCATCAGGTCAGGGCTGACACCTGCCACTCCCCTTTCCTACAAGCCACAGGGTGGTGGGGTCCCTGCCAGGCCCCTAGCCGTGCCCACCAGCCGCAGGACAGGAGCCTGCCCTAAACCCAGCTAAGGAAGAGGTGTGTTCCCGGGGCGGGGCAGGCCAGGTGGGTGCGGGGGCTGTAGAAAGCCCCCGCCACTCACCCCGTGGGGTTGCATTGCTCGCCCCCACCCCGGCAGTTGCTTCTGTAAGAGGGCAAGCCCTGCCTTTTTGTTTCTGTTGTAGTGAAAGCTTCCACCGTTTCCTTCTTGGACCATGAAGGGCAAAAAACAAAAAAAAAACAAAACAAAACAAAAAAAATCACAAAACACCACAAAAAATAAAAATACACACACAAAAAGATGTTACAATCCAAGCAACCAACCAACCAAATCAAGAGGCATCAACCAAGAGCAACGTGCACGGCCACCGCGGCACCGAGGGAGTGCAACCAGCAGGAGGCGCTGTGCCGCCACCGCCGCCGCCGCCGCCGCCGCAGCCACACAGATGGACCCAGCGCCACGGAGGCCCGAGGGCCTGCCCCTGCTCTGCTGACTGTGCTATCGGAAGCCCCTTCCGCATCCTGGGCAGCAGTGGAGTCTGCGGGACAGGGGCTCCATTTTCTATCAAGTCTTCCTTTCTGTGGCAGCGTGGGCCCGCAAAGGGCGTGCTAGGACGTGGTCCCTGGGGGGTGGGCAGCTGACATCCACAGGGAGAATCCCGTGCCTCATCCTAGGCCCAGCCTCCACCAGAGCCCACAGTGGTGGTCCCAGCCCAGTTGAGGTTGCAGCTTCTGGAGAGGAATCGAGGCCTCCTGGACACTGTCCAGATGGTGGTTCTGGGGTGGGCCCCAGCTGTGCACAAGGGCTGACATGGTACCAGAACTGGGGGCCCACCCAGTGCTGCCCACACATGGGCACAGACTGCACAAAAGAGGAAGCTGAGTCTTAGGCCTCAGAGCTCCAAAGGTGGGGCCCAGACCCCTCTTCCTGGCCCTGGTTTCCTTTTCTGGGGGGCCACAGGAACAAGCAGGTCTGCTGGGAGCAGAAGGCTAGGGTCAGGGTCTCGGTGCTATGGTTGAGAGCAGGGACCCCCAGACAGAACCTGGGGGTGCCAATGTGGGAAGTTTGGGCCTGGGCCACCCTGCCCCACAAGGGCGAAGCCAGCTTAGCAGCCAGCACCTTCCTGCTTGATGACCAGGCCTCAGGGAGAGGGTATTGAAGTAGTCTTCAGTTCCAGGGACACAAGGAACAAAGGGGAGGGGGAGATACAGAGAGGAGCCCCTGGCAGGGTGGGGACAGCTGAGGGAGGGGAGGCAGCAAAAAACACCCACACCCACACCAAAAAAAAAAAACAAAAAAAACCCACCCATCAGCTCCCAACATGGCCCGTCTCCTGAAACCTCAAACATAAGAACACACCTCACTTTCTATCCGGCATAAGCTTCTGAAGCTACCAGTCATCCTTTTCTATTCTTGGTGTACATAGACCCCGGCTCCTCTGGCCCGCCCTCTGTACAAAATCCCCCGGCCACCTGCTATTCAGCAGCAGCTCCGTGCCCCCCAGGACTGCAGCACCCCGGCTCCCTTTCTTACCATTCTGTCTGCTTCCGAGGTGTGACCGTCCCAATCAGCAGTATTATTAAGGTTATTAATAAAGATTTCTTTCTTCAAACCAGGACAGCTTTTTTATTGGGACAGTTTCTGATTACAGAGGGTGGGCCACCCAAGGGGGCAGGATCGGAGGATTGGGGTCAAAGGACAACAGGCCCGGGCCTTTAGGGAGCTAGGTGGCAAAACAGGCCAAGTCCCTGTTCCCCCCTCCAAATGGGTCTCTCCTCCTCCCACCTAGGCCAGGCCGAGTGGAAGGGGTTCAGCAGTTGTGGCTGACCCAACTGGGAATGCTGGGGCAGGACAGGCATGCTCACAGATGCGCATGCACTCCGTTTCATGGTTAGCACCCCCCAGCTCTCACCCCAAGAGGATCTCAGACACTGCTGCACCCAAGCTTCCTCCTGACCCCCAACTCTGGGGAGGGTGGGCTGGGGCCAGCATCACCCCATAAGGCTGAGATGCAGAGCCATGAGGAGGGGAGCCTGGGTGTGGAAGCCCTCAGACCCAAACTTGGAGCCAGCAGCATCCCCCAGAGAGCCCAGGTCTTCACTTCTCAAACCTTCGGATCATTTATCTCAGAGCAAATGCCATAGTGACTCTCCTGCAAGCCTTTACTGTTGGTGGAGCTGGGAGCAAGCTCTAGGGACATCGGGTGGTACGGTCCTGCCACACTCCACATTCCGCTAAACCCCCGAGACCTCTAATGGCTTACTAACCAGACTGAGGGAATAACTGCTGCTATAAAATTTCCCTCCATCTCTGTATAAACGATTTGGGGGTCCAGCACTGAAAACCTCCATGAAAGAAGGGAAGCGGGCGTTGCCGTGGGGCTGTGCAGACCACTGACTACCCCCAGACTCCAGGGAGTCAAAAGAACCCAAAACCAAGGATTGGAGCCAGTTCACTTCGGGCCAATAAAGCACAATCAGAACCGACACAAAGATTTTAAATTTGGGGGTGATACGGAAGGATCACCAGAAAAGGAAATGTTTCAGTCAACACCCTGGGATGGGAGACTCGGAAGAAGCCATGAGCCGCTGCTGGAGAGCAGCTCACACTCGGCTGCCGTCCTCGAGCAGGGCCCCATTGCTTCCAAGTCTGCCAATCCCAAGATGTGTTTGCTATGCAACGTGCACACCTCTCTTGCTCTCTAGGCGGGAGATTGGGCTTCTAGCAAGGTGTCAGCCTGTAATTTTTCTCATTCTGGCTCCCATTTGACACGTGCACATTTTTTAAATGTGGGTCCATTCTGGCTTCACTTTGTTAACCATGACAGAACTGGGAGGAACTAGTTCCAAGCCCTGCTGAGCATTAAGTGAGTGGAGTAATTCCCAGACGTGTATGTTCGCCTCCCCACATCTGCCAGAACGTCCAGACTCAGAGGGCCCCTGAAGCTGGGGTGATCTCACTTTGCGGTCCATCGAGGCTCCTGTGTGGGTCAACGTCCCCTGGGCAACAGGATGAAGAAGGCTCACTTCCGGCTCTGGGGCTGACCTGCTGGACCGACTCTCAGAGTAAAGTCCAGTTAGCAAGACAGAACACAGGACACACCGGTGTGAGATGTGGCACACAGCTCAGGGTGGGGGACTGGAGGTGAAGGCACAGGTCAGCGGCAGCCCCTGGAGGAAGAACCCACTCCCCCCAGCAAAGCACCAGGCAGGGCCCTGAGCCCACCAAAGGACCACCGGATTCTGCAGGCCAAGGGCTGAGAAGGAATGGGCAGGCAGGGTGGTCACTTGGTGGCAGTCCCCGTTACTACAGGGGACAGTGAGTGTCAATTCCTCACTGGGACCAGGAGTCCTGGTGGCACAATGGTTAAGCGCTCACTACTGACACAAAGGTCTGCAGCTTGGACCCACAGTGGAAGAGATCGAACAGTCTGCTTTCAGAAAGATTGTGGTGAGGTGTGGTTTCGTTTCATGCACAGCAGAATGAACCACCACCCAGTCCTGCACCGTCTCACTATTGTTATATTCTGGTCCACTGCTGTTACCACGGTGTTAATCCATATCCTTGAGTTTTCCTCTTCCACTTTACCAAGCACGGTGTTCTTCACCAGGGACGGGACCCTCCTAATGACAACCAAGTGAACGAGACCTCGTCTGGCCATCCGCACTCCTACGGAGCACTCCGGCTATACTGCTTCAGAGACACATCCGTTTGTTTGTCTGGCAGCCCATGGAACTTTGAGTATTCTCCTCCAACACCACAATGCAAATGCATCAATCTTACCTGGTTTTCCTTATTTATAGTCTAGCTTTTGCATACCTATGAGGTCACTGAAAAACCATGGCTTAAATTAGGTGCTTGTTAATCCTCAAAGAGACAGCTTTGCTTTTTAACATTTTTAAGAGAGCTTTTGCAGCACATTGGATTTCTTGCCTGTTTCTTCCATGGGCATGGATTATGGATTCAAGTAAATTGAAGTCCCTAATGTCTATCTTGTCTCCTTTTATCATAATGTTGCTTATTGGTCCAGCCATGAGGATTTTTGTTTCATACTGAGGTGTCATCTACACTAGAGGGCTTTTGTGGAAATATAGAGTTTTTCCATGAACTTTCTGAAGTCCCCTCGCACTGAAGGCTGTGGTCTTTGGTCTTCATCAGTAAGCACTGCAGGTCCTCTTCACACTCAGCAAGCCAGCCAGGTCATCAGCAATCCTGATGCTCCGTTCTTCTTCGTATAAACCAGCTTCTCGGATTATTTGCTCGGCATAGAGACTGAAGCAGCATGGTGGAAGGACACCGCCCTGGCGCACACCTTTCCTGATCTTAAACCACAGAGTGTCCCCTTGTTCTATCTGAGTGACTGCCTCCTGGGTTAGGGACAGATTCCCCAGGGGCGCGGTGAAGTGATCTGGAGTTCCCATTCTTCGCAATGTTTTCTGTAACTTGTTCTGATCCACACAGCCGAAAGCCTTTACATAGTCAGTGAAACACAGATAAGCAGCCGCACAAACCTTACAGGGCAACTCAACTCGATCACTTGGGGCCAAGGCAGCCTGAGGAGTGACGTGCAGTTGGTGTGTAACCCAGAGCGTGGCCTGGGGGTAGGAGACTTCAAGGGAGAGGGACAATCCCAAACCCTCCAGCCCCAGAGGAGAGAGGATACTCATCAGGGTGGCCGGGCCATGGGCTCTGGTCTCTGGTCCACCAGAGCCTCCCCGCGCCCCCATGCAATCCCATCCCCATCCCCTCAGGCACCGCTGTGGCCCAGTCTGAGGAACAATTAGGAAAGGTCCTTTGGAATTTCCTGGGCTACTCTTACCAAACCCTCTAACTTCCATCCTGGAGCCATAAACTAAGGAGAGAGTTAGACAACAACGGGTTTGTTCACCTCACAGGATGACAAGTCCAGCCTGCTGAATGCCCAGCTCTCCCAGCTAGATGCCCCCACTCGAGCCACCCCACCCACAGGCCCGGCCAGCAGGAGGGAGGAGAGCACCGTGTTAGAGTCCGTCCTGGGTGGGACTGCTGTAGATCAGGGTGGCCTGGCCCCACTCGGCCTGCGGCACCAAGAAGCCCTCCCTGGGGACAGGCTGGACCAGGAACTCCACCCGGTTGTCACGTCCAGGTTGTACAGCCGCCACCTCCAGGTCCACCACGCGGTACTGGTTGGTGAAAGCCAGGCCCAGGAAGGTGGGCTTCTCCGCGGCTGGCGGACCCCTCCAGCAGTGGACCCGGAAGCAGCGGACTTGGGGCAGTGGGCAGGCCCAGTGCAGGGTGCAGCTGAGCCGGAGGTGTGCAGGTGTAGGGTGAGCCCCGGGCTCAGAGGTGGCCGGCTGCCAGCGGATGAGGGACATGGTGACTGTCCGTACCTGGGGCAGGGGGCTCAGCAGGCTCTTGGCATCTACCACCTGGTGAGAGTGGACGGCTCAGCAGGGAGCGCCACACACACCCCCGCCCCCCCAGGTTTGGCAGCCCCAAACCTTACCTGGATCTCGCCGAGGCGACAGATGAAGGTCTCCTCCTGGCGGCTGCCTGGGGGCCTCGAGAAGCTGATGAAGAGGTCCCCCAGCACGCAGCCCTTCAGGTTCACCTCGTAGCAGCTGGAGGGGATGGGGTCGGTCACAGCGGGAAGGGCCCACCCCACGGGCTTGTGTCTCAGAAGTACCAGACTGCCCAGAGGGGAGCCCAGGCCTCTACCCCCTAGTCCTGCTGGCATCTCAGTGGAATCCCCTCACACCCCCCACCTCCACCACCCAGAGTGACCAGCCCTGCCACGAGCCGTGAGAGCAACAGGAAAGAGGGACTCACCGCTGGACCCAGCCCCCACTGAGCGGCTGACCACATCGGCCAGCCCACCTGGCCAGCTTGGTAGGGGGCACACGGAGGGGCCGGGAGCTATACCTCAGGCTTGTATCTGTAGGGACGGGGAGGGGAGCTCAATCCAGGCTGCAGCCTCAGACGGCAGCATGGACAAGAGGGCCCAGGGCAGCGGTCCTGCATTCAGACAGGACGAGGGGGACATGGGGACCCGGGGCAGTGGTCCTGTGTTCAGGCAAGACAAAGGAAGATGAGGGGACCTGGGGCAGTGGCCATTTCAGACAGGACGCAGGGGGACGTGGGGACCCGGGGCAGCGGTCCTGCATTCAGGCAGGATGAGGGGACCTGGGGCAGTGGCCCTGCATTCAGGCAGGACACAGGGGGATGTAGGGACCCGGGGCAGTGGCCATGCATTCAAGCAGGACTCAGGGGGTGAACACAGTTTGCTCAGTTCTGTCCACAGTAACCTACCCTGTGCAGCCTTGTAAAGGCAGGGGCAGCCCCCTCTCCTCACCGTTCAGGACTGAGATGTTGCCAACGTGACAGCTCCCAGCATCCCCTGTGCTCAGCTCCAAGGCCACTGTAACGGCCGAGGTCCCCTCGAGCTTATACACCACGGACAGGAAGAGCTTGGGAGGTGCGGGGACCTGCAGGGAGAATAACCTGGAAGAGGGAAGGCCGCGTTGAGGGGCCAGCTGGTCAGCACCCAATCGCTCCCTCCGCCTTCCCTTCAGAACAGGACGTCACCAAAAACTGTCCACTCCGGCCTGCCCGTGGCTTGACCACAGATCTGCTCCCAGCCCCAGATTCTGCTGGGGGGGGCTGCCTCAGGTCTGTCCTCGGCCCATCTGCCTGCCCACACCTCTCGCCCCCTTCACTCACCTACCTCACAGCCATGTGCCCCACCTCGGGGGGGATAGCCCCCCGGATGAGCAGGGAGCTGCCCCCGTGCCACGCATCCGCCAGGCAGCAGTGAGTCTTCACCCAGCCCCCACCATCCCCCTGCAGCTGGTGCTCCCCAAACAAGGGCTGTAGCTCCTGAGCACTGGGGTGGTACCAGGGCCCCAGAGCTGCCTCCTGGGGGAAAAGACAGAGGTGGATGAGGGGTCGGGGTTGGCGGAGGTTGCCCTCTGTCCTACCACCCAGCCCCACTGAGGATGGCACCCCTTGAGCAAGCAGCACCTCAGTATGCTGCCCACCACGTACTGCAGATCAGCACACACCTGTCCGTAGCAGACCCGCCGGGTCCCCAGACCCAGGCAGAAAGAAGTGACAAAAGGCAGTGAGCAGATGCTATGAGTGGGCAGATAGGGTCCCAGCAAACTCCAGAACCTGCAGAGAGACAGGCTGACCGCTCAGGTCCAGGGTCGGCCCAGACCATCCTGAACTGCCCCCCTCAGAGAGGGTCACAGAGAGGGAACCCCAGAGAGCCCCTTGGCCCACATTGAGTCCCCAGGCCCACGGAACATACCTGTCCTGGTTCTGGAAGAAACTGCTCTTCTCCAAACACTCGTACACCCAGCCAGGGGCAAACAGGGCTGCCGAGAAGCCGTGCTTTCGGATCAGCTCCAGCGACTGAGGAGGGAGAAGGCAGGGTGGCACCCCTCAAGAAAGTCTCCAACGCCGGCAACACAGGGGGCTCTTGGTGAAGCCGTACAGATCCCCCTTCCCTAAATCTATTTGCTGTTATTGACAAAGGTGCCAACCAGCCAGCCCCCTACTCCTGGCGACCCCAGTGCACCACCATCCCACGGATCCACAGGGTTTCCACTGGCTGATTTTCCAAAGCCAATCACCAGGCCTTTCTTCCTACTTCATCTGTCTGGAAGTTCTGCTGAGATCTGTTCAGCATCACAGCAACATGTGGCCACACTGACAGACAGGTGACTATCGTGGGGAATCACATCCAGATCTCCCACAGAGAGGACGAGGGGTCTACCACTGAGCCGCTGCTGCCCCTGGCTCGATCCACTGACCAGTTACTATTGTTCTTAGGAGTCCTGGTAAAATGGTGCTGTTAGTTAAGCACTGCTAACCTCAAGGTCGGTGTTTCAAACCCACAAGCCATTCCTCAGAACCGACTTGACGGCATTTAACAACAAACTGCTGTAAAATCTACTCGTGGAGCCCCCAGGTATGTCTAAGCAGAACTGGCTCCACAGGGTCTTCGGGGGCTAATTTTTCAGAACTTGATTCCAGACGCTTCTTTTGAGGTACCTCTGGTTGGACTCGAACCTCCAACCTTTTGGTTAGTAGCTGAATGCATTCACCATTGCAGCACCAGGGGCTAATCGAGCTACGGTGGGAAGATTCAGACTCAGACTCAGCAGCTATTTATGGGCCAAGCGTGGGGTTAGCACTGAAAGGTGAGCAGTTTGAACTCACAAGCTGCTCTGAGGAAGAAAGATGAGGTAGCCTTCTCTCATAAAGACTACAGTCTTGGAAGCTCTACTTGTCAGTTCTACTCTTAGCTCACAGAGTCACTGATAGAGTCCGAGACAGAGAGTCCGAGACAGAAGTGGTCTTCTGTCTTCCTGCAGTTGCACAAACTGACCAGGAGAGGGTGCCACTGGGGCAGCTGGAAAAAGGGTGCCCAGTGGGCAGAGGGCCTGCAGGTATGACAGTGAGGTGCACAGCCGGCAGCATAGTAATGAGCTTCACAGCTGGCTCTCACTTCTCTCATTATATCACCAGAATCGCTGGGGTAAAGAGAACCTTCAGTTACCGGATTAATTTACTCACTTAAAGCTTAATTAATAGCAGAGAGCCTCCCTCTGGCCCCAGAATGGGCAGGATTGACAGACAGCTCATGGGAACGGGAGGAGTGCTCCGCCCACACCAGGTGCATCAGCCCATCCCCCTTGTGCTCACTGATGGCAGGAAAATCTCCCTCATTACACAGAAGTTGTGGGAACCAGAAGCAGCTGATCCTGACAGTCCCCAACCCTGAAGCCCCTCGTGGGTCATACGAGGGTCAGCTATTAACTGGAACATTGGTGGTTTGAACCCACCCAGCTGTGCCTCAGTGAAAGGCCTGGTGATCTGCTGCCACGAAGACTACCACCAAAAAAATCAACTCAGAAGTTCTCTGTAACACGTAGGGTCACAACTTGGAACCCACTTAATGGTAATGAGTTTAGGGTGTTTTGATTCCGCAGGCCACCCCCAAAGAGACCTGGTAATGCAGTAGTGACGCACTCAGCTACTAACTGAAAGGTCGGAGGTTCAAACCCACTAGCCAGCAGCTCCTCGGGCGACACGTGAGGCATTCTGCTCCCATAAAGATGCCAGCCTTGAAAATCCTATGGGGCAGTTTGACTGTCCTGTGGGACCATTGGCTGGGTTTCTGGAAGCCCACTCTGATGGCTTAAGAGTGCTGGTGTGGCACTGTAGGATAAGCACTGGACTGCTAACCACACGGTCAGCAGTTCAAATACAGCAGCTGCTCTCTGGAACCCTATACAGGGTCGCTATGAGTCAGAACTGGCACACAACCACCACCACCAATAGTTTACAGTGTTATTTTGATGCTCTTAAAGAACGGAGCCCTAAAAGGCAATACAAGCTAGCTGGCGAGGAAAAAGGCCACAGCCCACATACAGCACACCCGCTGACTCAGGAGTAACTCCCCAGTATTCCTGGGCCTCGGTTTTCCTGCTCTGCAAGTCACCCTCCTCACATTCTCTTGGGTGGAGATGGGAACGAGAGAGAGGCCCGCAGAAGGACCAACAAGTACTGCTCACCTTGTTGGTGTCGAACCGGCCCCCGACGACGTTGCCACGGGCGAACACGTCCACCCCCACGTAGACGTCGGTGCGCCGCTCCCCCACCTGCGTCAGCATCCGCTCCAGGTGCTCCTCGCGCCAGTTGTAGTTGGTGAAGAAGCCGTCACAGGCTTCGAAAAAGGTCCTGGATGGCATCAGGGCCTGTGAGGTCAGCGACCCCGCCAGCTGCTCCTCCCCGACGACCCCATGTCTTCGTGGAGGTCCCTCCCTGGGCTGCCTGGTCACACCTTGCAAGGTCCTGTGTCCATGGTGACCGAAGAGTGGACAACCCTTGGCCTTCCCCCTCTCCCTCCCCCAAAGCCATCAGGTGTGAACGCCTCAGGGAGACTGGGCTACCCACTCCCTTTCCTGCCTACACCCTCCCTCTCCTGTCCACCCCCCTTTCTCTTGTCCATGCCCCTCTTCTCCTGTCCATGATCCCTCTCCAGTTTCCATGGCCCCCTTTGCCATGTCTGCACACCCCGATTGTACCCACATCCCTTCTGTCATGCCTGTGCCCCCTCTTCTGTTCACAAAGCCCTCTCATCACCCCTGCTCCCCCGCTCTGTTCTGTCCACACCTCCCTCTCCTGTCCACGCCCCTCCCTCCTGACCACGCCCATTCTCATGCCACGCCCCTGACCACGCCCCCCGCCTCTCTCCTGGTCAGGCGGTAGGAGGCTCACCGGTTGTTCTCATTGAGCTCGTTCTGCCACTTGAGCTGCCCACTGTGCAACACGCTGTCGTACCATAGTACCAGGCCCCCAGGCACTGCCCGGTGCAGCTCCGCCGTCAGGTACTGCAAGAACGGGGGCGTGTTCCTCACTGCCGCCAGCTGCAGAGGACAGACAGGGCCCGACCGGGGTCAGCTCAGTGGGGGTCATGAGGGCACAGCAAAGTACTGGTCAGCCAAGGCTCCAGCCCCACAGTCCTCTACCACCTCTTCCCTTTAAACAAATCTGGGCTGAAATGCAATGTGGGGGGCCCAGTCTAGAAAACCCAAACCTACTGCCATTGAGTGCATTCTGACTCAAAGCAACTCTGTCCAGGGTTTCTGAGACAGCCTCAGCTTTCTCCTGAGGAGCCACTGGTGGGTGTGAACCATCTACCCTGAAGTTAGCAGCCCAGTGCTTAACCTACTGCATCATCAGGGCTCCTTGTGGCCAAAAGGCAACCACAAAACTACAGAGCAGCGGAGATGTCCCTGGGATTTCAGAGCTGCTCACTGGGGGCCCCTGGGCAGCAGTGGGCCCAGGGCACGGTCAAGCTCACACTTAGAGAGTTCTCAATGTTGATCAGCCAGCCATCAAAGCGGAAAAACTGGGCGATGCGGACCAGCTGGTCGGCCACGGCCCGGTAGGAGCGCTCATCCCCGGCCAGGAAGGCTTCACAGAGCTTCCCACCCTCATTCCACTCGGTGATGAAAGTCCCTGGCGGGGAAGAAAGACACAAAGTCAGGTACAGAACCCCCAGGGAGGACCCCCACCTGACACCCAGGGGGTGCTCACATTCAGGGTCACCCTGATGTCTGGGACTCTGAAAGGCCTCACGGTAATAGGTACAGGCTAGTGTGACCACCTTTGTGTCAGAGTAAGACTCTGCCCCACCGGGTGGTCAGTGGAGCCACGCCCATGTGTCCTACTGTCTTGGGCTACCTTCAAACCAGTGGCCACAACAACTGACCCAATGACCTGCAAAGCTGAAAACATTTACTATCTATCTGGTCCTGTCCAGTACAAGTCTGCCCACGCTTATTGAAACCCATGGTGCAGGGCCCAGGCGAGGAGCTCTGTTAGGCCCTGGCCACCTGCAGCAGTGCTGAGGAGTCCAGTGAGCCGGCCTTACCCAGCACACAGACCCCATGCCTGTGGGCAGCGTTGGTCCAGCCCACTGGGGGGATGGTGACCAGCTGATGGCTGAAGTACACAAAGATGTCGATGTACTGCCAGTGATAGAAGGTGTAGGGGTTCTGCGTCTCGGAGCCCTGGATGAACCTGGGGGAGAAACGGCAGTCAGGTCCGGGGTCAGAGAAGCGGGGCACAGTCCCAGGGAGGGAGCGGTTCCATTCAGTCCACACTAGCTGGACGCTCACTGGAGAGAAGGAAACGCTGTCACCGGCATCCATCAGTCTCAGAGCCTCAGTAAACCGAGGAGAGGGCAGAAGAAAGCGAGAACAGAGGGGCTCAGAAAGCTCCCCATCTCTGGAAGCCCCTCAGGGGCCAGTCTCCCTGCATGTGACGCTGGGCTGAGTCTAGTCTGTAGCCAACAGTGAGCTGACTCAGCCTTCCCTCCATCACGACGCCACCTAAGAGCCACTCGGACACAGGGTGCCTGGCCGAGAACGAGACAGGTGAGGCCCAGCAGCGCCTGCCCCAAAGGTCAAGTCAAATTCAGAAGAGTCACAGTGGCAGGCTGTGTCTGCCCCAACCTGGCTCTCAGGCACCTGAGTTCAAGTTCCCGCAGTTCCCAGACTTTCAGACGATGGGCTTGCAGGAGGTGTTGGCCAGTGAGCCCCACCCTGTTCTTCACACAAAACCCTGAGGTTCCACCTCTCTCCAGCAGGTCCCAAGTCCTCCCCCAACACAGGGCACAGTGAGTGTGGGGTGTGGTCCTCTCTTCACCTATCATCCAGGTATCCGCCCATCATGTCATGACATAGCAAGGTCCGGGGCCTGCGGCTGCTCAAGGGAGGCTGGCGGCACGCAGGGGGCTCCAGGGCCACGTTAAAGCCGTCCTCCATGCTGGGCATCCAGGCCAGGAGAGCCTCCAATGAAGACAAGTAGCAGCTGATCGGGCTGGTGGTGTCCTTGTCATAATATCTAACTGGTCAGGGGAGGAAGGCGATGAGGGACTGAGAGAGAGTGTTGGGAACACCCTGCCAGGGAGCCCCCAGAGCCAGCATGGATTCCGAGCCCCCAGCCTTCTTACCTGGCAAAGGGTCCGAGGTGAAAGTGACTACCTCTCGGAAGACCGCCTCTTCCGGCTCCTCTTCCATTCTAAGCAGAGAGGGGGTTCACAATTTTTTTAAATTAAAGAGTAAAGAAAAAGAAAACTAAGTGTGGTGCTGTAAGATAAAGCACTGAAAACGCAACTCTGTTTAAACCACAAGGTCGGCAGTTCAAACTCATCAGCCGCTCCTCAGAAACCCTATACAGGGTCGCTATGAGTCAGAACTGACTTGATAGCCCTTAGCAACAAGAAGACAAAGAAGGGGAGAAAGTCTCCCCAATTCTCTGGCTTATATTTTTAAGAGGTGGCCCAGTGGCTGCATTCGCTCCTTCCATGTCGAAAGCCCTGGTTCAATTCCTTGTCAACACTCCTTGTGTGTGGCCCCCCTCCTGTCTACCAGGGGAGACTTTGTGCACTACAGTGCTGCTAAACTCCTTTCAGGAGACCTTCCAAAATCAGCCAATGAACAGTCCGAGGGTGGCAAGGGCTTGGCGTCACCCTGAACAGCAACCAACTCAAAGGCAGCTAGAAACAAGCGCTACAGGGAAGGGGGGGCGGCCTGTGATGGAGAGTGTTCTTCAGACGTTTCCAGTCCCCTCCTCTTCCCAAGTCCCTCCTTGCCTGCCTTCTTTATCCCTGGGACTATGGGACTCTCTCAGAGCTCTTCTCCCTGTTGCCTTTGACCTTTCAAGGCCAACTCCTGGTGACCCCATGTGTGAGAAGGCAGAACTCCCCCACAGGGGTTTCTTGGCTGTCATCTCCATGGAGGCAGATGGCTGGGCTTTTCTGTTGTGCTGCTGTTGGTGATGGTGGTGTACCATGGAGTCGGTTCTGACTCATAGTGACCCTGCTGTAAATCTTTACGGGAGCAGGAAGCCTCATCTTTCTCCTACAGAACGGCTGGTAATTTCGAACTGCTGACCTTGAGGTTAGCAGCCTGACTCGTAACCACTATGCTACCAGAGCTCCTTTCAGGCTAGTGGTCCATCACAAACCATTTGCACCAACCAGGGATCTTTTTAATTCCTCCACAAGACGAGAAAGAGCCGTCTCGGCATTCCTATTCTAAAACATCTTTTCCACCAGCCAGTCACCTCTGGCTCTCTACCTGTCCTGTCTGAAACACTCTGTCTCACTCCTATGTGTTTAAAAACAAAGGATTGGGATCTTAACTTTTCCGGAGCAGCCTTGATACAGAACCAGCTGTCTGTAGCTTTGATTCCCCTACTCTGGTAGAGAACAAAGGAGCTCTGGTAGCATAGTGGTTAAGAGTCAGGCTGCTAACCTCAAGGTCAGCAGTTCGAAACTACCAGCCGTTCTGCAGGAAAAAAAAATGAGGCTTTCTGCTCCCGTAAAGATTTACAGCCTTGGAAACCCTATATAGAATCGCTGATTCGGAACCTACTCCCCCGCACATAACCACCACCACCAAACGGGTACAGCCTTCTCATCCTTTCCACTAAAACCCCTTCCTGTCTAATCCTCAATTCAAACTCGACCTCCTCCAGAAACCCACCCAGCATGGCCATTAGTCATCTTAATTACACAGATGCCATGTATTGAGCAACTGCAGATGCTGCTGGGGACAGGCGCTATTAACCCATTTCTCAGATGGGACTAGGATCTGGTATACAGATCAGCAGCCCTGGGGATGGCACTATTAGCCCATTTCTCCGATGAAGAAGTTGAGGAGGCAGCCTCCGGGTCTGCCCGCAGGAAGGGTGGGCAGCACCAGGGTTCCTAGGCGGGCCCCTCTCTCATAGCTGTGCCCCGCGACCACCTGGGTCTGCACCCCAATTGGACAACCGGCGGAGGTAGCTCCTCGGTCTGAGTGCCGGTGAGCCGTGGGGCCTTTTGGGGGTGACTGCCATCACCGCACTGTGGCTGCGCAGGGACGACCTCGCTTCCGCACCCCGGGCCACGGCCAGGGTCAAGGGCCGGGTTCAAGGGTCCAGCCTAGGGTCTTGGGGGAACAGGGGATTCAAGGTGCAGCCCGGGCCTGGTCCGCCCACCTCCGCTCGGGCCGCCGCCGCTTCGGGGTCCGCTCCGGCCGGTTCTCAGGGCCCGCCTCCCGTGCCGCCGGCCCCTGCAGCCGCCGCTCGCGCCTCCTCGAAGACCCCCGAGTCGCGGCCACCGCCGCGGGTTCCATGGTTCCTGCAACCAGCGGGCCTTCCAATCCCAGGACAGGGCCCGCCCTCCCGCCGGCGCCGTCAGCCAATGGGGACTGCGGAGCCCGGTAACCTCGCTCGGATTGGTTCGGGCTGAGCGCCAGCTCCTGCTCTGGGCTCTTGACCCGAGGCCCAGACTTTGTACCAAGTGCTTCCTAGGGGCGGGACCTTGGGGAGGGACTGCTGTCGGTGGGCGAGCTCTCTGGTGATGGGCGGAGCCTGCACCTGGTTTACTGGAAACTGTTCAAGATCCTCACAGCAATTAGTGAATTGCACAAAAGCTGAGAAGCTAATAAATGGAACAATGAGATCTGTACTCAGTTGGTATCATGGATTGACACCAAAATTATGTGTTTTGAACTTTTAGCGTCCTGAACTGTGAGAAAATGCGTTTCTCTCTCAAAGCCCCCACCTTGTGGTATTTTTTTGATAAAACAGCAATAGCCTTCCGTATGGATTGCATCTCAATGTCAAGAAAACAAAAATCCTCACCACTGAACCAATAAACAACATTCTTATCAATGAAGAAAAGATTGAAGTTGTCAAAGACTTCATTCTTCTTGGATCAACTATCAACACTCATGGAAGCAGCA